GGGCCGAGATGGAAACCCAGTGCATTAATTTACCTCTCATCCGCCGTAACTGCACTCCCATAAAAAGTTTTATACTCAACTCACATAAATCACGGGGAAGAAAAATGAGAAAATCTGGTGGCTAACTCATCTTCCACCATTCTGCGAAAATGAAATTCACTGAAATACCTATCAAAACTGCAATCATCAAGAGATAATGTCTTCTTAGGTCTATCTGCACTTTCCGATTTAATTTCCTCCATGCCCTTGACATCCACAGATACCATTAAGATTAAGAGCAGCGAGTAACTGAGCAGTTCTCAGATTTTGATATATGGGGCCCAGGCACTAAATGTAATATCATCATTTGAAAATTAATGCAATATTTCTTTTGTTAGTTTTTCCACTCGGAAAGCGGGATGAATACTCGGGGTTCTCGCCAGTAATTTCCCCATCAGAATGCCGTGCAATTATGAGGAGATGTGCACCTGGGCAGAGGTCACCCAAATTACTCCATCATTTAATGAGCGCCGAGATCAAACCCGAGCACACTGTTGCTGCCGAGAGACGCCTCGCAGCCTGCTACATCAAATCTGATGGAATCATTAGAGTAATAAGCAGGAAAATCTGTTTGCAGATTAACCTCTGGTTTCATGCTGCTTTCATCTAATGGGGCGCTGTGGAAATCTTGTCAGCTTTTCATCAGCCACGATCAAATTACGGGAATTGCGAACAAACCGCCGGCGCGATTGGAAACAACACCCGCACGTGCCGGGGGTTTTATGCAGATGCCAGGGAAAATCACACTCTTGATATTTTACAGTGTTATTTACTTCAGCTGATCACCGCTCTCCTTCCGCCCGCCGGCCCGTCCGGATTTACGGCGGAGAACGGCAGCCGGACGAATTTATGGGGGAAATATGAGCGGGGCGACAAAGGGAAAGCAAAATAAAGGCACAGAGGTCGTGGGGATGGAAGGTCACGGCGTCCCCACCGCAGCCGAGGGCAGGGGAGGCACCTCGGCCTCGGTGGTAAACGAGAGTGATCAAAGTTTACTTTTTAATAAAGGCACGGAGCCATTAAAGTGTTGTTTTATGTGGAGCGGTTCTGGATTCAGAGCCTGCTGGTAATGGGAAGCGACAGGGTAAAAGTCGCTTCTCTTACAAAGTTTCCACAAAATTTGTCACCGTTGGATCAAGGAACTGCTGCAAGCGTTTGAATATTCTGCCTGAAAACGCTGTGCCCTTCATGGTTTGATCCACATCTGCAAGGAGCAGCAGCAAAACCTTGGAACAAATAAAAGCGGTGTGTGCACGCGAACTCGACACACGCTCTCTGCGGCGAGATCTCCAATCCTCGGATGCACGGAGCCCCTCTGCAGGAGCAGCCTGGATTTCATCCCCCCAGGCAGACAGAGCCAAAAGCTGCTTTTCCCATGGATATCCATAAGCCATTGATCTTCTGCAGTGTGATTACCTGGTATGAAGCTGATCCAGAGCTCCTGAAGGAGATGGAAACATTTCCAAGGGCCAGGGGAATGTTTGGGATGCTGACCCTGGCACAGCCAAAGGGTCCATCAGCCACTGACACCTGATGGCTTGGGGACACTGGGGGACACAGCCAGAGCCAGCACTGCTCCTCAAAAAGCATCTTCCAAGCTGCTGCGTCCAGCTGGACACTCAGTGGCTCTCCAGCCTGTCCAAAGGGAAATTTGGAATGTCCCTGGACACAAATGTCACTTTGGCCATAGGAGGAAAACCTCTCCACCCCCACCCACCTTCACTCCTTTCCTCCCAGAATGGAGCAGACAGACACAACTCAAGAGAGACAGAAGAGACAATTCAAGCCTGCAGAGCATAATTGACCAGCATGGAATTTTGCCAGGACAGCAAGATAAACATAATTACTCATATTAAGAGCGTTAATTAATTGTTTGTGAACACAAATAATTGGCTGCTGGGTTTACAGCTCGTTAGGAAGCCGAGGACTCTGCCAGACGTCGCTGTCTGGTGGCCACCCGAGGGCCACGGAGCTGTGACACCACGGGTGAGAAACTCGGAGAGCCACGAGCAGCGAGGGGCCAAACCCCCTGGAAAAGCCAGTGCCAGCCAGGAAATAAATACTGACATCTAATGAAAAGAAATACTTGACCAAATATCAACAGCAAATAAAGGAGAAGGGATCTTGGTTGGGGTTTGGGGTGTTTTTTTTGGTTGACTACATCAAAGAAATACATGAACCTTAAAGTTCCTCCAGTGCCACCTCTGCCATGGCAGGGACAATTCCCACTGTCCCAGCTGCTCCCAGCCCTGTCCAGCCTGGATTTGGGCACTGCCAGGGATCCAGGGGCAGCCACAGCTGCTCTGGGCACCTGTGCCAGGGCTGCCCACCCTGCCAGCCAGGAATTCCTTCCCACTGTTCCATCTAATTCACTTTCAAGCCATTCCTTGTGTCCTGTCAGTCCAATCTCTTGTAAATCCCACATTGTAAAACACCCTTTTTTTACAGAAGGGATCCAATAACAGATAATCAAATCAAGATAAAGACTCTTAAGGTGGGAAAAACCTTACAAGCATTTAGAATTACAGGAATTAAAGCTGTAGAGCTGGAATCATGTGGCTTAAATATTTGGAGGAATATCCCTATAATTAACTGGAGTCCAAAAAGTCTTGATGAACAAAATGTTGAGGTATAGAACAGATTCCAGCACAAATATTCCTACCTGTGGGTGCCTTGGGAAACAGCTGGTTTCCTTGAGCACCCATTCCCAGGACAGATTTTCTAAGGGAAAACAGAACAAAAGTCTCAAATCCAGAGGTTTTTTGACAGATCTTTCAAGGGAAATGTTCCCTGTCCATGGTAGGGGGTGGAATATCTCTAAGATCCCTTCCAAAAGATCTTTTAAGGTCCCTTCCTGCCCCGTTTTGGAATTCTAAATACAAAGCAGCCAATTAATTTAACCAAGACAATTTCATTCCAAATTATGATAAGTTTACCCAAAAAGCACTTCAAGCATCCTCATTCCACAGGGAACATTTCCAGTACCTTTTGCTCACAGAGAAACCCTGAACACCACGGAACTCTTTTCCCACTTCCCACCTCCCCAGGCTACTCCAAGCCCACTTCCTTCCCACTTTTTGGGAATATTGTTATAAATCAGCCCTGCAGCTCCTGCTGTGGCAGAAGTCCTGATTTAGGCCAAGCCCCAGCCATGGTCAATCTGTCAGGAGGGGAGCAGCTTTATAAGGCACGAGAAAAATCCCAGGAAGCTGCTGGATGACAACTCCCTGCCACCAGCAGGGCAACAAAACCTTCCTAAAATTTATTTGAGGGATTGAACTCCCAAGTGAGACACCCCTGGAAGCAGCAAACAAGATGGATTTTCCAACTGCTCTGAGAACTCTGCTCATTATTGCATTTGATGATTCCCAACACATTTCACAGGGCACCTTTAGAAAGGGGGAGCCCCTGAGATCTGTGCAAGGATCTCCATCCTTTCCATCCCACCACAATCTCCATCCTACCAGGATCTCCATTTTTTCCATTCCACCAGGATCCCCATCCCACCAGGACTTCCATCCTTTCCATCCAACCACAATTTCCACCATTTCCATCCCACCATGGTCTCAATTCTACCAGGACCTCCACCCTTTTTCCACCCCACCAGGACCTCCATCCTTTCATCTCACCATGATGTTCATCCTCTCCACCCCACCAGGACCTCCATCCTTTCCATCCCACCGGGATCTCCATCCCACCAGGACCTCCATCCTCTCCACCCCACCAGGATCTCCATCCCACCACGATCTCCATCCTTTCTATCCCATCAGGACCTCCACCTTTTCATCTCACCACGATGCTCATCCTTTCCACCCCCACCAGGACCTCCAGCCTCTCCACCCCTCTGGCACTCCAAGGAGATATTGGTGCCCGAGCTCCTCCAAATCCTTCCCAGGTGACTCCCAGAATGGGAAGCAAGAAGAGGAAAGTAAATACTGACATTTAATGAAAAGAAATACTTGACCAAATATCAACAGTGAATAAAGGAGAAGGGATCTTGGTTGAGTTTTGGGGTTTTTTTTGGTTGACTACATCAAAGAAATACATGAACCTTCAAGTTCCTCCAGTGCCACCCCTGCCATGGCAGGGACACCTCCCACTGTCCCAATCCTGTCCAATGAGACACACGATGCTTTCCACAGCACTATGGCAGAGCAGGCATTAGATAGTCCACGAAAAAATTAAACCCTTCTCAGGATGGATGTGCCATTAATAGGGAATATTTTCATTTAATGGGATTTAATAATCACTTTACATCAACTATTTAATGTTCCAGTGACTGCTGGTACCAACATGTGAGGCTCAACCAGCTTCTGACTTGTGACAAGATTTTATTTTCCCCAGTTTTGATCAACTGATGAGTTTTTAATGCTAAGCCTGGCTTGCCATCACTTGTGGGTTTAATATGTTTACTTAAACCAGAAATATTTTGCACCTCAATTATTATTTCCTACTGCAGCCCTGAATGGAATTTAAGTCGATCCATTATTCATAAAGCAAAGACAAGAGAAAACACAAAGCTGTGCACTTCTTTCAAAGCCTCCAAATGACTCAAACACACCATATTTATGCATGCAATATTTGATTGTGTCCCTGGCTCTTTTTTTTTTTTTTTAATACTTTTTTTTTTAATCACAAGTTTGTTGTTTTCAGATCAGGATATGCCAAAAATCCAACACCAAACAATTTTTGTTTATAATTAAGGCAATCATCAATCCAAGGATTGTAGTCCAGTTTATTTCATCTCGACATCAAAAAAAAGTAATTTAAAAAAATTAAAATTCCCTTGAAATGGGGAGATAAATGAAAATGTGAGTGCCTTCACATAATAACAGTAGCCTGACCCTCTGGGAAATGGTTGACTTTCTCAATTCAAGGTATTCAAAGCTCATTCAAAAGTGTTCATTTGGAATGCAGATATCAAAGATGATGCAAATGTTCAAGAGAAAATTAAAACTTACCAGATGTTCTAATCCAGCTTTGATGTTCGCAGAGTCCCTGTAAGAGAAGAACAAAAGTTCTAAATAGTTGCTAAACCCTTGTCTGCAACGATTTCTGTTTAACTCTGAAATGGCAAAGCTGGGTAATGTCGCCAGCGTGTTAAATTTTTAATTCTCATACATATATTTACCTGTAACACCTTAAAAAATATTGATTATCCTAATGCTCAATGGCAGAATTCAACCCTCAGGTAGTACCTGCCCTGAAACTGCTACAAACTGGCATTGCTTAGAGGACACACATTTTAAATCAACATTTTTCATCTAATTATCCCACTCTACACTGGAAGGAATCGGCCAGGCCAGGGCACGGGGCTGTTTATCAAACCCACGTTTGGTGCCTCCTGGTTCTGCTCTGCCACCACTCCCACAATGAAATTCCCTGCCCCTTTCCAAGGTGATGGAGAGAAGGAATTGTGATTAATCCCATGGCTCGTGGCAGCCATGCTGGAGCTTCCATCCAGTCCCTGAAAGCTGCAAAAAGTACAAAATGTGCAGAGAGAAAACGGGAAGAATTTTACTTAAAGGCAGCCGCAAAAAAAAATGGACCAAAGTATCCAAGTAAAAACTCTGAACGACAAAAATTCAGAGGAAAGTTTATCCTTAACATATCCTGCTATGGGGAAAAAAAGATGAAATCCAACGGAAAACAAATTAAAAAGTCCCCAAATCCCAACCCACTGGACAAGGAGATGGTTCCTGCTCCCATCAGCTCCAGGTTTTACCTAATTCCAACACCACCTCTGGGAAGGTGGGACACTCCCACAGCAAACAAGGAGAAACCAGCCCCTGAGGACTGCAGGAACCCGTTAACAATACAGTATTAGTCATTACTAGTACTCAAATTGCTAATTATTTATCATTTCCTAAAGCTTTTCCAAAACTCTGCTATGTCTTTTTTTTTTTTTTTAATTTAAATACCACTAATGAAGTGAGAGGGGGGGAAAAAGTACTTTTGCTGTTTGACTTTGAAAGAAGAATTCCTTTTTCTCAGCCCTACAGGATTTTTCCCAATTTTGGAGATCCCAATGAGGAGGATCCAGGGAGAGCTCAGAGCTCTTCCAGAGCCCAGAGGGGCTCCAGGAGAGCTGGAGAGGGGCTGGGGACAAGGATGGAGGGACAGGAACAGGGAATGGCTCCCAGTGCCAGAGGGCAGGGCTGGGTGGGAGATTTGGAACTGGGAATTCCTGGCTGGGATGGAATTCCCAGAGCAGCTGCAGGGAGCAGGGATGGGTGGGAGATTGGGAATTCCTGGCTGGGATGCAGTTCCAGAGCAGCTGTGGCTGCCCCTGGATCCCTGGCAGTGCCCAGGGCCGGTTTGGCCTTTGGGTTTGGGGCGCTGGGACAGTGGGAGGTGTCCCTGCCGTGGCAGGGTGGGATGGATGGGATTGTCTCTCCCTTCCCACCCAAAGCATTCCATGATCCCGTGATCCCTTCTGGAGCTCCCCCTGGCCCCAAAGGCTGAGCTGCCCTGGGAGGAGGATGCAGGGCAGGGCTGGAGGAGCTCCCAGCCAGCCCCATCCCTGCCATCAACATCCCTGCACCTCCCTCAGCCTGTGCTGAAAGCAGCCCTAATTCAATTCCAGGCCTCAAAACTGATAAAAAAGGTCCTGAAGTGGAAAAGATGAGGAGATTATTGGCAAATGAATAAAGATTTGTATCGAACCAACACACGGGAGCAGAGCAGGGCTTGGTGGGGCTGTTTTTTAATCATGCCCTGTCTCAAACCTTCTGGGAACAGCGAGTTTCCCTTCCCCTCCTGCAGCACATCGATTCCTGAATTAGGCTGCAATATTAAATAATTAATATACTTGCCATGATTGATGTTTTGCATTAGTTGAATATTAGGTTATCAATCAAAATCCACTTGGTTTAATGTAATAATATTGAAAAAGTGTCACGGGCTGTTCAGCCAATTTGTAGTTGAGGCAGGCCAGACAGGAATATTGGTGTAACACAAGGCCCTAACGCAGGAAATGCACTGCTGGAACATCCATAAGGAAAACATTATCAAACTAACCAGGACAAGGCTGAGCTTGTCCTAAATAAACCTTGGGGCACCTGTCACTTCCAATGAAAACCTCTTCCCAGCCTGGGGCTGCTGGGCATCAATCAGCTGGATATGGCAGGGTTTTATCTTTTAGTTAGCCAATAGATTATATTAGAGATCTTATACAATTATATTCTGCATCCTAGTCTATATTACATTACATATACTATAAGTTATATTACATAATTACCCTTATATTTATATCATTATATCTAATAATTACATATTTAAATATATATAAATAAATTACATTATAAATTACTATTTAAAATTACATTATAAAATTTGTTGTATTGGCAACAATACAATAATTATGTGAAATAATCACATGTTTAAATTATATTATTTATATCATAAATTATACAAATTAAGGCTCCCATTAATACTATATTTCATATGTTATTCGAGGCAAAATCAGACCTATGGCCAGAGCTCAGTCTCCCACTTAGCCTTGAGTGCCTGCAGGATTTTAAACCATTAAACACCACAAATAAAAGCCAGGAGCAGCTTTATGCACATCCAACATTCCAAAGCTCGCCACATAAAAGAAACAATTAAGTTGCATTAATTTGGCATCATTATCAGGTAATTACATTTTACTCCATTTCATACCCCAGACTTCCCAATATATTTGCTTTTCACACCCTCTCCAGTGCAGCATCTTCATTTCTTTGGTTCATTAGGCAAGTTTGATTTTATTCCTGAGTTTTCCTGTTTCTATCAGAGAAGCTCTGGAATTTTTCCCCACTTTAGTCAAGGATTTGGAGCAAAACACCACTGACATGCATATATTTGAAGTCATCCATTAAATCCAGGAAATGCCATACTCAGGCTCATCCAAACCTTTCTGCCATGCCAGGAGAAAAAATTCCAGCTCCATCTGAGTCCTGGTCATCAGAATTTCCAGCAGCAAGAAGCTGGGAATTCAATTATGGAAGTTCCATCCCTGCCCATGGCAGGGGGTGGAACTGGAGGAGTTTTAAGGTCCCTTCCAACCCAAACCATTCTGGGATTCTCCAGGTTTGGGATTACTTAAACCCACAGTAACTAACTGAGGTGAACTTCCTTTGCCAGTAAATTAAATTTAAAATATTCCCTAGCACTTGCTGAAATCATGATTTTAACCTGGAACATATTCATGTTCCTAAAAATACTCCCTGTATCAAACTAATAATTAATCAAGAGAACTGGAAAATGTTCACTATCCTCAAAATATCCCATTCAGGTATTATAAAAAAAGCCTAAACTTTCACATACAATGTACCTTCCAGTGAATTTACAGCAGTTCTACCCAAGAACTGTAGAACTAATACAGTTAATTAATAGTTAATAATTGGTTTGGCCACAGATTTTTGGGTGAGGAGGATAATCCTATGGGTTATTTATACCTACATGGACATTCCAGGAAAATTCAGGTCAAAGGGCTTCTGGAGGGTGCAGAGCTCCTGAGAATTAGATTTCCATGGGATCACACAACTTTATTTCCACCTCAGGATATCCCAAGATGAGACACTACTGAACTTGTCATTTTTTGCTGCTCTTTCCAATCTTTCCTGTACAACAAACTCATCAAGAGGAGCAAATAGTTTGTGAATCCCACACTCTTAACAGGAAAAGCATCCATTATATTTTTTTGAAGTGTGCAACGTTGTTTTGTTCTTACCAAGCACCAACTTCAAATGATCTGGAGCTGATCCTGGAGTGTGAAGACTCCAAACCTTGGTGGTCTTGAGGTGGAACCCTCCAATCATCCAAATAATTTATCTCAGGAAAAACCAGTAGGAAGTTTGGCCAGTTACTAATAAATTGAAATGCAACAAAGAGCCCAAGAAGATCCTATGAAGGTCACTTAGCAAAAGCAGGAGGGAAAGCCAAAGTCAGCCCCCACACAAACACACTGGAATAACTTGGAACTGCCAAGAGCTCCATGGAATATAATGCAACCCAAACTGAATGATGCTAAAACCAGGACTTTAAACAGGACACGAGGTGAAACAATTTCCATAACGTGTTATCCTTCAAAGAAGGAAAATCAGTACCCAAGAGACCTTATCAAATATTCAAGAAGGGGAAATATAGAATAACCCTGGCTCAGAGAGTAAAATCCCAGATTTTATGCAATATCAATACTGAAACTAAACACAGAGGGAAAACCCCAAAATACAGTGTTGATATTTTCAAACAGACCCTACAAAAATACTGCATTTCTTAGGTAACTAAGAGACAAAACTACCCAAAATCTCCCAGTTTTGCTTTACAGAGGCTTCAGGTCAGGTATGAAAACCCCATAAATCACAAGAGACAAAACAACCACCCGAAATCTCCTGGTTTTGTTTCAGGGAGGCTTCAGATCAGGTATGAAAATCCCACAAATGACCAAATTCCTCTGTCCTGGTTGCCTCAAAGCAACTCCTCAGCTCAACCTGGTGATTCCAAGGCCATCACAACGTGCAAGTCCTTGGAGCTTTCCTACTTGGAGTTGGGTTTGGTTGGTTCTTCCCTGGTTTTGGATGAGTTTGGTTGGTTCTTCCCTGGTTTTGGATGGGTTTGGTTGGTTCTTCCCTGGTTTTGGATAGGTTTGGTTTGGTTGGTTCTTCCCTGGTTTTGGATAGGTTTGGTTTGGTTGGTTCTTCCTTCCCTGGTTTTGGATGAGTTTGGTTGGTTCTTCCCTGGTTTTGGATGAGTTTGGTTGGTTCTTCCCTGGTTTTGGATAGGTTTGGCTTGGTTGCTTCTTCCCTGGTTTTGGATGGGTTTGGTTGGTTCTTCCCTGGTTTTGGATAGGTTTGGCTTGGTTGCTTCTTCCCTGGTTTTGGCTTGGCTGGCTCTTCCCTGGTTTTGGCTGTTTTTTCCTTGCTTTTTCTCCCTCGTTTTGGCTTGGCTGGCTGGGATTTCTCCTCCTGTTCCCTTCACCAGGAATGAAATCCTGCTCCTCCCTGTCTGCATTCCCA